TTGTGGAAAGATGGAAAGAGCTTCAGAGACTTTGGAAGGCTCTTGATGTTGTGCCACCGCTTTAGTTGTAGGCACAAATACATCATTTGTCCTTGATTTGTCCTCCTCATTATGTAGTTGTGATTGGAAACCTTCTCCCCTGCCCGATCTCCTCACAGGGAGCTGGTTATTTGGTCCAATGACACCCATTTCCTGCACAAACACACACACAAAATAAAGTAAGTGATGAAATGTTACTACAGATTGCAAGACAAAATTATGTCTACTTGATACGGTCTGAGGTCAATGCGGCTTACTCTGAGTTTGAAACAAGCAGCCGCTGCAGCAAATCGTTCTGCGTCGACTTTCTTGGATGCAAAACCTTCCTCTTCAATCCTGCAGGGCCACAGCAGTGTAACGGTGGCTTTCTGCAGAAACACAGTTACAATATAAAGATTAATTTCAGAGTCATTAGCCCTCAATGGACATGATGTGTTCAGAAGCCCCCCTCCATCCCATTAGGACTTGTGATCTGACCTTGACTCCTGCACTCTCCGTGCAGCTATACTGGATGAACTGGGCCAGGTCGCTGACTCCCAGTGACCGGCTGATGATGTTGTTCAGGAGACCTTTAGGATCTGGAAACTCCTTCAAGAGGCTCGGACTCACGTCAACTAAAGAGTTACAAAAAAAACGAAGGTCACACACACAGCAAGGTCAAAGAAAGCTTTTTTCCATTCTTAACTCAGGTAAACATGAAGGAAAGACCACGAACACAAGCATTAATGGGTTTTTTTACATGATGGATGCCCTTGAGATTAAACACTGCTGCTGCTGTCACCGGTTATCCAATTATGCTAACTGCTAATTCTTCCCTCACCTTTACTCTCTGCAGAGGATGACCCGTCGTCCTTAAACACTTGGTCTGTGGTGCTGTACCACCGCAGCTCTCTGCCCAAGTTGGACGGCGTTTTACCTCCGGTTTGAAAACATTTTGTAACATTACAGAGAGCTCTAAGCCGCATGAGTACACTGCCGGGCACCGCCATCTTTGAAACTTTGTCATCTGCGCCAGCCAGATCTGTGCCGATGTCAGTACCAGATATGTTCGGCCTACCAAATATGTTCGGGTGTATTTCCGTCGCATCCGTCATCCGTCATATCCGTCATATACTCACCTCCCTCTGCTCCCAGCGCTATGCTGCCACCACACCGTCCGTCTGCGGAACTGCAGCCGGAGGGAACTCGGTACAGCTGTGTTATGTGTGAACGATCTAGATCCCTCCGCTTCCCCATAATTACCGCGACCATTTTAACTTTCATGACAGAAATGGAGAGCTTTTATGCTGAGATAAAGCAGTACGTGCTCAATGGTGGTTACCACAATCTCACCATCGCCGCTGAAAAGCATGATAAAAGGAAGGCGTTAATTCGGAGGGCATCCAAACAATACCTGATCAAAGGTAAGTAACAGAATAAGACCATGGTTAAGTCACGAACATACGTTTTTATTATGAGGTATAAACCCCCTGTACATGTGACATCATCACATTCCCTTTACTTATAGGGATCAATAAAGTATATTATCTATCTATCTATTTATCTAATGGTGTTTTTGGTGCAAAAGTGATCATACCTCTAATGATTTATCATATGCAATTCCAACATTTTTCAGTAAATCGCAAGGACTCCACAGCTTGTTTCTCCTTTTTCTTTTATACACACTTTACATTACTGTAGTTGTTACGTCTAAACCACATTTGCCACTGGATTTCTTGAACAGCTTTTAGTCATAATGTCATCTCTACACATGTCTAAATGTTTGTTTTGTTTGTTCCTGTTGTGCCAGCTGGAGATTTGTACTACACATACAAGGACAATGAGAGGATGGTTGTGTGCACCAAGGACCAAATTATCAATGTCCTGAAGGAGTGCCATGATAACCTGGGTTCCGGAGGTCATGCAGGGAGAAGGCGCACCACCGAGAGGTTTTGGCAACGTACCACTGGTCCACTATGCGGGAGGACGTGAAGAAATGGGGTGGGAGTTTTTGACTGACTGACTGATTATTGATCTACAGAAATGTGTTGTATGTGTACATTGAAACAGAGTGAGACATGTGTGGATCTCATTGGCCCACTTCCCTCCACTGCTAAGGGCAAAAGGTACTATCATGATGGGCTGAAGCATGTGTAACCTCCTTTAAAGGTTCTAAACGTGAAGAATCTGGTTTAAAAAGAAGGAAATCATTTACAGTGATTCTGTATGTATTTACAACATTCTGCATTTTATATTGCAGATACATTCTAACAGCGACTGATCTGTTCACGAAGTGGGTGGTAGCAAAAACGCTCTACCACAAAACAGCTGTTGAGGTCTCAAAAAAGATTGTAAATATTCTTCTCGATTTCGGTCTTGTCGAGAAGATCATTACCGACCAAGGACGGAATTTTGTCAATGAGGTACAATAATCTATCTAATACAGTGTATGTGTTATGTGTAACAATGTAATACGATTTTTCAGGTAATTTGGTAATTGGTGTACACTAAACCATCTGCAGGTCAACCGTGGTGTTTTTGATGCACTGGGTGTAAAACACTGCATCACTTCAGCGTACCATCCCCAGTGCAATGGCCAAGATGAGCGTACAAACCAAAACATAAAAAAAGCACTTGCAAAGTACTGTGGAGAGGACCAGAATGACTGGGATTTACATCTGAGGGGCATTGTGGCGAGCATTAACACCTCAAAGCAGGTACAATGTTGTAACAAATGCAGATGGAAACAATAACTCAAACAGAGATACTAAAAGGAATTTTATGCTTTCAGAGGTCAACCAAGTGCACGCCCTATTTTGCCCAGTTTGGGAGGCACCCTCGCGTCCCGGGTGTTATAAATGCTACAGTCAATGACAGGGATGATACCTCTGTTTTGGGTGCCTGCTGATGAGGCAGAACAGCAGCTGAGGCAAAGGCTGCAACCATTGCAGATTTGCACTCGAAGGTGAGAATAAAATGGCAATATTTAAAAACATAATAACTCCTAAAAAATGCAAGCGTATGTTAAGGACTGTAAATGATAACTGTTACATATCTTTCTCAGATTTACCAGAACATCCAAATAGCACAACAGAGACAGAAAATCTCTTTTGAAAAAACGCAAGGGAAAGAATGTGAAATCTTTCCTGATTAACGTTGGAGATGAGGGTCCTAAGAGCGGAATAAGAGGAAGGAGGGCCGAAAAGGTGGAAAAACTGGAGTGCAACTGGTTTGGCCCTTATGTGGTTTTCCTCAATCACCAACAAGGGTGTGGCAACCCTGTTGAGCTCAACAGGAGCTCAGCTGAGACAGAGTGTGAATGTGTCTCAGCTGAAGCCCTTTATCAGGCCTATGTTGAGAGGTATTTTGATTATCAATACAAGGACACATTTTAGGTATACTTCATGTGTGGTACTTCAATAATACTGTTTATTTTGTGTCTATCTAATAACAGCTGAACCGAAGTTGGATTCGGAGGGGTCAGTTGCTGACCACCAGTATGCCCTCTCTGGTGCGAAATACGCAAAGGATCTACATCCGATTCAAGACAAGCTGGTAGATATATGTTTACTTCATGCACAGTGATGGAGGTGCATTGTTTTGATTTTAATTTTTCTATGTTTTCTATTGGCTTGAAGTATGTTTTGCAATCTGTTATTTGCAGCTCAGCTATGTGCTAGACCACAATAGGCCTGGAGCAGAGGTCATTGTGAAGGAGGGTGATGTGTGCCTGACCAGAGAGGACTTTTGGAGCCTGAGTCTTCCTCAGTGCATGGAGTCAAATGTAGGTATACTTGAGCTTTCCTCCCAACTTCATCTTGTCTCAAATAAATGGCACAGGTAACTTACTGTTGTTACTGTTTCAGATTGGAAACACGTGCCTGAAGATGGTACAAGAAGCCACCCAAAGACATGTACGGTTTTCAACAGACATCATTGGCCTGCTTTTTTCTTTTGAATAACACATATTTTCTAAATAGCTGTTTAGTGGTGAAACTCCAATCTCGTGAAGTGTGGTTGTCTCTTGTTGTTGAACATACTTCTATGAAGATTTCATTTTTTTTGAAAACTATCAATATAGGGCAAAGATATATACATCGTGGATATGTATGTGGTTCCTACCTGGAAGTCCAAAACAGCTGACGTGTTGGCCAGTTTTCCAGTAAGTTCCTGTTGCTTGAGACCTATGTTTCTTGAAAATTGATATACAGCAACTTAAAATCCCTTGTTTAAAATACTAGGCTGACCAATTGGCCACCAAGGACATGGTTTTCATCCCTGCCTGGAGTCGGCAGCAAGGAAAGGCAGATCACTATTTGCTTTGCGTGAGTCTGTTCCAAATGATCTCACCAGCATGTACAAAATGAACATAAGTTGTGCTGTGTGGTTTTCTTCTGGTGTTTGATTATGTCTAATTTCAGCTATTTTGTCAATGGTTGACAGGTGATCAAGCCAGCAAAGAGAGAGTTATATTTGCTCGACCCTCTTAAGCCAGATGGCTTTGGGGACAATTCCTACAAGGACATATTTAGGTTTTTGTAACATGATTACCCCCTCACCGTTCTGTGGCTTGTATGGGAGTTCTAAATAGTTTATAGTATTCTAATACTGCAGTAACCATCTTGTAGACCAGGGGTCTGAATCTGATCAAATTCATTTATAATATATCTCCATTTCCACAAGTCTGGAGTGTCCTTAGTGGAACCAAAAGAAAAGAGTCTGCAACAGGATGCTATGAATTATAATATTCATTTTGTTATAAGCCTTGTTCAAAGGTTGTTTTCAAGTTCAGCTTTGTTCAGCGGCTGGTAAACGTATTTTTGTTTGTTTTATTTTAGCCCCGTTCAGTGGCTTTCATAACTTTCCTCTTTTAAGGCATGCAATAGTTCAATGTAAGGAAATCCAAAAACATGAATTATATTGTGTATAGCGTTCCTTCACCAAATCAATTCCCATGTCTTATCATTTCTTTTGACAGTGACCCTAGCGCACCGCATTGCTCCAGGTCAGTGGACAGTAAAGTTCGGCAGAGACGTCAAGGTACATTCTCCACCATCTCATACACCTGCTTTCACATGTCTTTATTTTCCATTTGACCATGAACATCACTGTTATATTCCAAATTCTTACAGGGTTAGCCTCACCAAACCACGGGCAATGACTGTGGTGTCTTCATACTGATGGTAAATTCCTCCCTTGACACTTTTTTTAAGGGGTTTGTTAGTTTTTGAAACTCATAACTTAACAGATCTTTATCCTTTCACAGTATGCACTCAACTTCAGCACAGATGCTCTACTTTGGTTTACCGAGGTCAGTATTTATCCTCTGAGTTAGTATTTCAGGGGGAAGAGGGGGCTAACATTGAGTAGACAAATGATGAGGTTCCATTCATTTTCAACTTTATTATTGTTACATTTTCTTTTAGCGGGACATAGCACAGATCCGGAAATGGTGGTGCATTATGCTCATGGAACGGTACCAGATTGAAGGGTAAATCATACATTTTAAATGTTACTTTATAGACAACAGTTTCTTTGACACTGATTTACATTTTCATCCTGATATTATGTGATTTTTATAGCCACGGACAGATCCAGATTATTTAACACATGCATACATATTGATAATTGTATACACATGTAATTAAACAATCACATGACCCACACCTTATATTTTCCTTCAAAGGTCCAGTTTCAAAAGTCCGACATGTGCTTCATATTGGAGGTAATATCTTTTCAGTGAAGCAGTAACTGTTTTTTGTTTAAAAAACGACCTGTGATCACGGCAGAATTTCCAACTATTATGTCTCACTGCTTTTTTTAACTTTATTGATAGCTGTTTTTTACCTCAAGGAGAAGAATAACAAAACATAAGAAAAATGTGTGTGATATATTCAACATTAATATTAAAAATGTGTCTTTTTGCTACCTGAAGCCCAAATAATCTTGGTATTTCGATTGTGCTGGCAACAGTCTAGTCAATGTGTTGTTAAATATGTTTGATCTAGTCTGACCAATACTTCACAGCTGCCAAACTGTCTTCTCTCGGACCTTCTGATGGAAGTGGTTCTCCAGGAAGGTGACAAAGCGTACTCATCACTCACTCTAGTGTGTACCACCTTCAGAGACACAATGTCCACTGTGTCTTTCAGAAGAGGGGCCCACTTTCGCTGGCTTGAGAGTAAGTGATTCAGTGAAGGTGCAGCAGTATACGACAGCTGTGGTGTCTATGCATATTTTTAATGGCTCTATTGAAATGCTTGTTTTACACAGGTGTTGCTACATGGAGTTTGTTCTCTGCTTCATACAAGCAGGATTTCAACGTCATGTACACCATTGACACCTGCCGTGGATGCTTGGAGCCTTACAAAAACTGCAAACCAGGTAGACTTCTTATTCTGGATAATAATGTTTATGTGTCATTACATATTTAGTGTGTTGTGGTCCTAGTGTGATTCAATTACAATATTTTCTTTTTCTATTCATAGGATATGTTGGGAAAGGTAAAAGAGGAGAATTGCAGGGCATCTACTCTGATGACCAACATCCAGGCTATTGCAGTCCCTTCTGCAACCAGATATCATAGGTAAAGATTAACTCACACAAACAAATGTCAGAATAGACTAAATTGTCACTGCAATTAATGAAGATCATCATTTGATATCTTACCTTCAAGTTTGGTTTTCCCGGACGCTGCCCGTCGTGGACTTCGGGTCGTGGACTTCGGGTCGTGGCTGAACCTGTCTCTGCAGTCCTGCCTTGGGTCATGCTGCTTCCCTGATGGCTTCCTCATATATTCTGAACAATCTGTGCTGTTTTCCTATCCACATGTAAAAGGAACTAGAAGGATTTCTTGATACTAAGGGCTGTAGAGAAAAGTTTGGAGCTTTTTCCATTAACGTTGAAGTTCAAATTCTCAATAAACACTTGAATGCTGTGCTGTCTTTCTATTTACTTGAATGTGTGAATTCATTCAGTTGGGTAGGTAAGCTTGGGATGGATATATGAAATATATACATACAAAAAATTAGAGACTCTTTCCAATGAAAGTAGCTAGCCGCAATAGCTCCAAGATTGCTATATCTAGTTTGTAGGTCGCCAAGTTGGCATCATTGACAGTTCGTCTCTTAAAGCCTCTAAAGCTCTGCCAACAAAAAAGGATCATTATGAATGTAAATACTATACATGGTAATGCAGCAGGGCAGAGTGCGATGAGGCAGGCAGGCAGAACCAGATTTATTTCTAAATATTTGTCGATCAATATTAGGCTACACTAATATAAGGCTACTAGTATTATGATATTACTGCAATAATATTCCAGTGGTGGCTGCTTAAGGTTGTTTCTGGCTCGTTTGATCCAAACATTGTCCAAAGCTCAAAATGTATTGTAATAGATGTAAGAATTCTCAAAATGTACAATATGTTTTGATCCAACACAATATTCTGATTCAATCCATATATGTTAGGGGTTTTTTTTTTCACCAAAATAAATAGACTGCCTTCTCTCCAGCTCACCGCACACAAAGGGGGGGGGGGGGGGGGGGGGGGGGGCATCTGTATTAACGGGTCAGTCTATAAGCACTCTAATAGCACCATAAATTACATTTAAATAACCACAAAAAGACAATTATTGTTTCCGATATTGATTTAACGAGATGCTGTTATAACATGGAAACGGCTTAATTTAAAAAAATAAGCTTCAAAAATGTTTATGAAGCACACTGGGTACAGCCCTGTAATACATGTGTTCCGTGTGTATATAGTCTTACGCAAGAAACACATAGCATGAACAGACTGCAACAAAACCAGTCTTACAAAACAGACTTCTGCTAAACTGGTGCAGAAGCAAAGCATCTACCTTAGATGAAGTTCACACAGAACTGTGGAAAAGGGAGAACATCTGTACTTGCTTTCAACGACATGATCAGGCTTATATATTATAAAAGTGTTGGCTAAAGTAACGCAGAATATATATATTTTTTAATTGTAAATAATTAAGTACACACACATAACAAGCTGTACCGAGTTCCTCCGGCTGCAGTTCCGCAGACGGCCGGTGTGTGGCAGCATAGCGCTGGGAGCAGAGGGAGGTGAGTATATGACGGATATGACGGATGACGGATGCGACGGAAATACACCCGAACATATTTGGTAGGCCGAACATATCTGGTACTGACACCGAGCAGCGAAGAAAACACCGGAGGTGGCGAGATCCACAGCGACCCCCACTGACGAGGAGGGTTACCTTCTTCTTGGTTGGAGGTTCTCAAACTATTGTAAAGTTCTCTCCATGCTACTTGAACTATCAGTAAGAGTGTGTCTTTCTGTTTCATTCATGGTGCAATGAAATATGATATTCTGTTCTATAATTATTTTTAACTCCACAGTTCTCACAGTTTTTTCCCCGAGTAGAAACATAATCAGCATTCCTTTATTCGTCCCACAACGGGGACATTTACGTTGTTACAGGCGAAGAAAATATAACACTATTATATAAAAAGGCATGCATGCACAATGATAGTATTTGAAGTACACATTATTACAAAATTACACATTCAGGTAGTTATTAAGTAGCAGCAGTATTTATAACATAAGAAGTTTAGCAATGTAGACTAAAGTGTGCTATAACATTAGTTAAATTAGTATTGTTACTTAAAGACTCCTGTTACAGTAGCCTAATGGTTGGACTAACTAGGAGTATTACACATACATTTTATTTACATATTAATGTAACCCTGAGATCCAGAGGTGACATTTTTGGAACAGCTGTGGGTCCCCTATGATTTGGACCTAGTTGTATTGCATTGCATCATTTGGATTTATCAATCTGTATATTAAACAGTGGGATTTTCAGCGACTATGTGATTCTTGGTTGGCTCACAGGCAGCTGTTGTGACATCTGGAAAATATCATTGAAAAACTGCAAGGGCAGCATCTGGGCTGGTTCACATAAATAGCTCTGCATGATAACCCAGTTGGACAAATAAAGGATGGAAGGAGCACTTGTCCTCCTCCTGGTTGTAACAACAGGTGAGCCCATTAAACTAAATCCTTCACTGGAATAGATATATAATGTGAATGTGAAGTAATCCTTTTTCTTCCGTCTCTCCTTTTGTTAAAGTGTCTGGGTGTGGTGTGCCCAGCTACCAGCCGGACACCAGCCGTGTGGTGAATGGGGAAGAAGCCCGTCCATACAGCTGGCCATGGCAGGTTTCCTTGGAGTCGTTTTTCCCTACTTGTGGAGCAACACTCATTGCTCCTAACTGGGTTTTGACTGCTGCACATTGCATTACGTGAGGAGAACTTCATTTCAACTTAAATTGTTTCTGATGATGCATTTACAGGTTCCAACAGAACTCAAGGGATGAAAATGTGACCCCTTTTGTCTGTGATTTAATACACATTTCTTTTTTTACACTAATACACAATATATTAAGTTTATTATTTTCCAATCCAGATTCCACACGTACAGGGTTGTTCTGGCTGAGCATGACATGAAGACAGAGGAAGGACCTGAACAGTCCATTATGGTGGCAAAAATGTTCATCCATCCCAAATGGAACAGGAACTGCGTGTCTTGTGGGTAGGTAATGATCCCAACATATTATTTTCCAGATCTGTGGTGGATTATTACACTAAACATGTCCTTGAAAAAAGGTGCCTATCAGTACAGTATACTGTGTGAGTTCCTATTGAGCAGCAGCTGAGTAAATAGAAGTTTTATAAATGAAAAAAACTTCACCTGTAGAAAAAAAGCTCTCTACACATTTACATATACTTTGAGAGGTTAAAAGAAAATGTACTGCTGATATGTTTAATTTTGCCTTTTTAATCATGTTTTGTAGGAATGACATTGCCCTGCTTAAGCTGGAGAAAAGTGCTGTTATCAATGACAAGGTCCAGCCGGCTTGCCTGCCACAGCATGGTGCTACTCTCGCCCACAACCAACCCTGCTACGTCACAGGCTGGGGTCGTCTCTACTGTAAGACCTGTCCCCAATTCTGCTTATCAAGATCACATGGGGTGTAGCATGTGTAAATAAAACGTAATAAAAGGAGATCCCGCACTCTGTAATACATTCATACATTGTGATGCTGATCAAAAGCAGTTTGCAGGATCTCCTTTCTCAAGTGACACCTTTTCATTCATTTGAGATAGTTGTATGTGGAAAAATGTCCTTTAGATGAGTGAAATGTATTAATGTTATTCAAATGCTATTATGTTATTTTCTCTTTAGCTGGTGGTCCTTCTGCTACTACACTACAGCAAGCCCTACTTCCTGTTGTGGATCATGAAATCTGTAGTCAAAGTGACTGGTGGGGCAGCTCAGCAAAGACAACCATGGTCTGTGCAGGAGGAGAGAGCAAGTCAGCATGCCATGTGAGGAAGAACCATTAAGTCATGCTTTGAGTGCAACACAGTTAGCTTTTTATTTGCTCTAATATCTGCCATTACCTCCCAGGGTGACTCTGGAGGCCCTCTGAACTGCAAGGGCAGAGATGGTAAGTGGTATGTGCAAGGAGTGACGAGTTTTGTGGATGGACGGGGCTGTAATACCCCTCAGAAGCCCACCATTTTCACCCGTGTGGCCTCTTTCATCCCCTGGATCAGTGAGGTGAGGAAGACCAAATAAATGGCATTAAGCAACCATGTAATAAAAATATTCAATTTGTGTAATTTACTAGCCTAATCTTGTGTTTCTCCCTTTAGACCATGGCCCAAAACTGAAGAAATGTTCAATGATTGAAGAAGTGAACGGGCAATAAACTATCATTTGACATTTTAATATTATATCCGTCTTTTATTTTATCAAAAATATATACAGATTATGAACAAATATATTCATGACAAAGAAACATACATTAACATCAGATTAAACAATGTTTGACAACGCCACATAGACAGGATGAAGATAAACAAACACATATTGACCAAAGCAAACATTTGATAATGGGAAAACAAAGATTGTGTATGTTTTTTCTATTTATTTGAACATACTAAAGGACTTTAATCCAATAAGTAAATTAATTCTAAGTCAATGGTTAGGGTTTCCTTGATAAAAGAACATAACATAACAGAATTAAGTTAAATCTGACAGAAATGCAAAACAACATGATGGTTAACTGAATGATTGATGGTTTATTCTTCTTATGATCAACTAATGAAATACTTTAAGCGTCCTTACCTTATCTTGAATTACAATTATTTCCCGACAAGTGATTATTTGATGGGATTGTTTTAATTCAGCAGACTTTGGTTTAACAACACACTGTAGCAGCAGAGCCTCACAGGTCTGAAGGCGTCCAGGTGAAGAAGTTGATTCCCTGCAGCTCGTCAGGTAAGTACTTCTGCTCCACAGGGCCGCTGAAGGATGGGTTGTATTTGTAGCCTTTAGCGTAGCCCAGTTGTTTCATCAGTCTGGTTGGGGCGTTGCGAAGATGCAGGGGGACAGAAGGCAGGGGCCCTTTGTGGTTCCTCAAACAAGCTTTCACATTAGCATAGGCCTTGTAGACATCAACAGACTTGGGTGCTCGTGCCAGATAGATTACACACTGAGCCATGATCACCTGTTGAGCAGTAACAGAGGTAAAGACTGACTGAAAATCTGATTGATATGACTCAGAACCATCACTGATTGGTCAGGAAAGCCTACCTCACATTCAGGCATCCCGATAAAGTGACAAGCTTGAAAGGCTGACACGGCCTGAGGAAGAGCGGCGAAGTCTGCCATACCTGAGGAAGATATGGGACAATTTCTCTGTAAGCACTTCAGATGTTTTTTCCTTTACTGTAATAAAATAAAATAGCACATTTTGTCTTTGTTGCCCTACTCCTCTTATTTTATGATCAAAAGGTCAGGAGTCAGAGTTATGTACATTAATAACGCTTTTACAAGTAAAAAAAGCATTTTAATATCCAAAACGATATTGTGATCCTACTGTTAATCAGAAAAGGTTTAAATTAGTACAAGAAAAACAAAACATATAACTTTAAAAAATAGATTACGCATAATAAAAAACAAAAAAGAACAACACACAATCTAAAGTAGTTGATAAAATACGGAGCCCCCTAGGGGACATGGAGAAGAAAAAAAAAATTATTTAAAAATAAAATGTTTTGCGAGATCTCGCAAAACCCCGTTGCAGTTTGTAGACGGTCCCTAAGCACTCCTCTCCCTCCTCCAGCTGCGGATTGTGACCAATTCTTGATGTTTAGCTTGGATGACGGCGCGTATCGAACTGTTCTGATAAAAACGACTCTTATTCTCAGCTCGTTGTCTACCTTGCTATGATTGTAAAGTCATATTTTTACAACGTTATGTTCATGAGTTATTGATCCGCGAAACGAAACGTGCATGTCCCCTCGCTCTGAGTGTTTTCTTGAGGTGTCTTCACTTATGTGAAACCCTTTTATATATACAGTCTATGTGTGAAACCCGTGCCTATTGCCAAGCACTGATGTTATATCTTTATATTTAAGGCCAAGCTCAAAGTAAAATCGATGAACCACTCCATTGTTGTGGTTTCTGTGTTGCCGTAGCAGCCGAACTGACCAGGAAGTACTAAATGAAAAGTATTGCGAGATCTCGCAAAGGGGTTTTGCGAGATCTCGCAATACTTTTGCGAGATCTCGCAAAGGGGTTTTGCGATATCTCGCAAAAGTATTGCGAGATCTCGCAAAACATTTTTTTTTGTTTTTGTTCAAATTATTATTATTTTTCTTCTCCATGTCCCCTAGGGGGCTCCGTAATAAAACAAAAGCGAGAGTAAAAATAAAAAAAAGATTTAAAAGAAGCAAGGGACTAAGAGGCTGGGATTTTGGGAACAGTCTTCATTGTAGCTACGATCTAATGTCTAATTGTGTGCAAGATACAGTCCTGCAAAGCTACAACCTGATGAACAAACCAGTGTTTTGGGTCTCATTTTGAGAAGTTGGCAGCTGCTTGTTTAATTTTCTGGACGGGGTAAATGATCAAAAATCACTAAATTCAGAGATGATAAAAAGGATAATTTCCATTAGGTCTTACCCACGTCCTCGCTGGCAAAGCGGACCAGTCTCCGGGCCACGTACAGAGGATCCTCTCCGCCCTCCAGCATGCGGCCCAGCCAGTACAGAGCTGCATTCTCATCGGAGCCTCTCATAGACTTATGTAACGCTGAGATGCAGTTGTAATGCTCCTCACCTTTGTGTAACACACACAAATAAATGCATCAAGATATGTGAAGTCACATCAAACATTTACAAAACTTCCCAAAGGTCTGACTCTGAAGAGAAGAAACACCAAAAGGAACAAAAGATTAAAGACTGATCAAATTATTTAAAGACAAAAAAACAGGAAGAATACTTTCTCCTTGAAGGTCACTAGTCATGCTGACGGACATTTTCATCACCCTTTGAAGCACGGGACAGTAAATCTCGATCGTTTGGGACAGCTGAAGGGTTATGCAACAGGATGGAGTGGATGGTCAGAGGATCATAGAGTGGGTGGGTGGGTGGGACCAGGATGGGAGTGTGTAAATGATTGGAGAGGCTGAAAATACAGTCTACTATAATTGGAGACATTTTATATATCACTTTGTATGAACGCTGGGTGTTACTTAAATGGGTATACTTTGTAAAATGTGGCACTAAGCAACCGTAAGCACAGCTGTAGACAGTACACCCCCAAGTGATATGCATGGTTGAGATTTCTTCTCATCCCATATCATTCAGTGATTTGATATGAAAGCCCCGTGACAGGACGCATTTTGGAAAGCAATATGATGGGGCTGTTAAGCTTAAAACCTCAGATTATTTAGATGTTATGTAAAGTAAAGATATTGATGGCAGGTGGTATACTGAAACTGATGGGAGGATTTAAATATGTGGATTTGTGAAATATGTAGCAATGTGCTAATGGTGTTAATGTGCTTTTGTTGACTATGTGACAACCCCGCCCCCTTGTATAATCCTAAAAAACGCTTTGTCCCAGCTGCCTATTACATAATGAATCCTCTTTAAATGAGCAGTGTCAGGGTTTCAAAATTAGACGAATGTCCTCTAATCAGAAGGACATTTTCCAAATCACAGATGTTGTTGTAAACATTTTTATTTTGGTGTAATCTAAACATTTAAAAAAAAATGAAACAAACTATACGTTGAACATTTCAGAAATGTCTTTAATTGTTTAAAAAAATAACAACCCTTTTTTAAATAACCACCGTGGCCAAAAAAGCTATTTCTACTATTACTATTCATTTGGTGAATCTATTGGGCCCTTAGTTTGCACATGGCATTTCGTAATTAAGAACATATAAGCTTACCAGCTCTATCATAGAGAATATGGGACCTCTGAAGACCCTCCTTGATGTGGTCCTCCTTCACCAGTATTTCCTGAGAGCCGCCCTGCCCTGAGGGGTCGGGCCGGGCCGAGCTCAGCTGAGCCTGAACAGCCAGCTGCAGACTGTTGAGTCCTGCTCTCGCGTCTCCATCACAGAGGTAGGCGACTGTGTCCAGAGCCTTTTGTTCAATGAAGATCTTTGGCCTGGGAAAACAATAATATATATCAGATATAGTGCACCAGTTGCAATACTTTAAAATATATTCCATTTTGTAAGGAAGAAATAAATGAGAAATGACATTTCCTAATTAAATATTGATAACATCAATAATAAAAAAAGGTTAAGAGACTTACTAATTTAAATGGACTCAATGCATATGTATAGATCTGTTTGTAACTAGAAACCACAAAGAATGTCGGACATTTACAACGTCCTTCCCAAAAACGTATTTTCATCTGTGCCCTGTAGAGGGCGCCACAACATTCAAACTATGCTCAGCCGTGTTCAAGTATACACAAAAAGCATCATCAATATCCCTAGTGCCTCCCTTAAAGGTGGGGTAGGTAAGTTTCAGAAACCGGCTCGAGTGCACTAAAATTTGAAAATACACAGCCGAAAAGAATCCGCCCCTTCCTTCAGACTTCCTTACAGAGCACCTCCTCCAACACACATGAACGCGCACATGACGTCAGCAGACTGGTGAAAGTGGCCGCCTGGCGAGTCATTGAAGTACTGCTGCAATGCACGCCCAATGAGGGCACGAGATACATTTGTGCGTGCACGAGATGGAAGGCTGACAGACAGGGCGGCAGGCAATCCAATCCGTTTAGCCGGCCCGGCTAAACGGATTGGATTGGATTGGATTGGATGAAAGATACAGTATTAGTCTATCCAGAAATCCGAGGTATAAAATAATAACATTATCAAGAAATATAACAACCTTTGAATTATAAAAAAACGTAGATGACAGTTTCTCTATTGGTTTATAAAGAGTGTTTCTGCCATTTACCTAATTGATAAATTGGGTGATTCAAATAAAAGCTGTTCATATATTGCATTACAATTTAAAAGCAAAAACTCAAACGGTAGCCTTAAAAATTATCTATAGGTTGAATTTTGTAATTGTATTATAAGCTGTTTATTATGAGCTACAATGGCAATTTATCCAAGATAAAAGTGAGCCACTCCCGTTGTTTATCTGAATGAATCCAGTGAGCCAGGAACAGAAGACAACAACAGGCTCAACCATCAAATATTTTGAGTTGTCTGCTGACATCCCATCATGATTGATGTGTGTCACTCACTCTGTTTGGTTACCAAGGGCGCACTTACTCATCTGATTGGGGTTGCTCTTTGGGAATTGTCTGATCTTGTCCCAGGACTTTAATCCCCAGTGTGGCCACAGCCCGGTCCAGAATGGAGCCCATTGCCTCCACAGAGAGTTTCTCCAGAACCAGCACCCTGCACCGGCTCAGCAGCGCAGCGTTTACCTGGAAGGACGGGTTCTCTGTGGTGGCCCCGATCAGAGTCAACGTTCCGCACTCCACGTGAGGAAGGAAGGTGTCCTACAGGTACACACACAAATTAACCATGGGAGGAAAAAAAGGGACAACAATGACTATTTCTAAAACAACAAGATATCAACAGTAGGTATTTGTTAAACTACTATTAGCTGAGCCTCCTTGGTAGCTGACATAGAGAAAGTAAAGTCATGAAGCATACAACTACATCAAATCTGAAGATTGCTTTCTATTAGGGCTTTTTTGATAAACAGCCTGTGTCTCAATGAGATTACCTGTCTTAACAAAGGTTAAATACATACAGTCAACAGTGGCAATTTAACTGAAAACTCTCCGAACTAAACCAAACCTATTTTAAAATGCTGTTAATAAATGACAATGTTATACATGAAATAAATGCTATTCATGATTTACATTATTTTGTACCTATTTCATACAGAAACTGAAGAGCAAATACCAACACAGGGTGGATTTTAAAGTGGCTACTTCTAATTGGAACATGGATCAGATAACATTTGGTTTAATACTCCACCTGTTGTGATTTGTTAAAGCGGTGAATCTCATCGATGAACAGTATGGTCCTTCTCTTGCACAGCCGGAGCTCGTTCTGCGCCTGCTTGATCACCTCTCGCACTTCATTGGTGGACGTGCTGGTGGCGGACAGAGAGACAAAACGAGCTGTCCCCTTCTTTTTACTGCTGCTGGCAATGATGTGAGCCAGAGTGGTCTGAAACACAACACATTACAATATACAAAGTCATTTGATTTGAACACATGATGTGCCCTTTTTTGAATCAATATAAATGGAATCAATGATAAACACCTGTACAGCATCTTTAGAGCACATATTCCAGGACCTACAATGCACCTTTATTTTAGGGCCTCGAAAATATTTTGTCTTTACTGTACATGCTAATAACAACCTCCAAAAATAACCTTCCAATTTTGAAACCAGAGAGCTGTGACTGTAAAGTGTTACTGAAGCATGTTGACGACGTCTAAGAATGGGAAGCTGCTGTGTAGAAATATAGCTGGGCTTACCTCACATGCTGTATACTATTTAGGTTTGACAAGTAACACTTGCAAGTACTGCACCAACCTAGCAGCCAGAGACAGAATCACTTTTTCAACATGCTGTAAACTAAGGATCTCTCTCTACTATTATTGGCACTGGCTGTAGCATGCGAAATATTGATTAGTTGATTGCAAAAAATCGGACATATAATTGATGTATTGTATCATATTGTAACACATAACATCTTGATGCACTGTAGTGTTTGTTGAAGTATAGTTTTGATAATATATATTAGCCCTTCAGTTCATAATGACCTGTCCATGAGCCTACAGATGAAGCTCAGCTACTTTGCTAACTGTGCCATATTTACATAGAGATGAAATCTGATACATATTATGACCTTTCCTTGATATAAAAAAAGAAATACAGCTATAAGCATAATCTTTGACAGTTTATAGATAGGTTTTAGTCTAGTATAGAGCTGAGCTTATAAAAATGATTAAGAAGTGTTAAACCTGAAGTGCTCTTAGAATGTACTTTTCATGACATGTTGTGTTTTGTCATTTTGTTAGACGCTTTTATCCTAAGCGACTTACATACACTCAATACTGTGGACAATCCCCACAGGCGCAATTTGGGGTGAAGTGTCTCAGGGACACAACGACATGCTGACTGCAGTGGGACTCAAACTTGCTATCCCCTGATTCGAAGTCCAGCACACTATCCACTGAGCCACAGCCTCCCCATTTAAACTGTTGAAATTAAAAACCGTTGTGTAGATTGTTGATTGTATCTTATTTTGCTAGAAGGGAAAAGGGTAGATGTATTTAAATAATTTGAACATGGTCACTTTGTTTTGAAGCTTGGAAGAAAGCTAAAGTCATGCATAACAGAATGGAAATACATGTATGTAGGTCAGGTGACGAGGCCCACCTTTCCACACCCCGGGGGTCCCCAGAGGATCAGGGATGGGATGTCCTGGGAGTCCAGCAGTGAGCGGAGGAGTGTTTGCTGTCCCACAACTTTACTCTGACCAAAGTATTCCTCCAGTGTGTTTGGTCTCAGTATCTCTGCCAGAGGCTTGTTACTCGTCAGCAGTGTCCGTGGTGATAAATCAGTGGATGTCTTCAAAGTATGACCGTTTAATCCAGGGGACTTCATATCCTCTGTACCTGCTGCTGGTCCTGGTTCTGCCTCGCCGAGCAAATTACGTTTAACCCCCTTGTTGACAGGAGATAGTTTACTTGATAAAACCCCGTTGCGTTCACCTGGGGCTAAAAGTTTACTCTTGTTGGTCTGAAACAAAGAAAACACAGATGAAGCCGCACCAGCCACGGAGGAAGGGCTGGACGCGGTGGTGCTGGGTGGCTCAGCCTCGACAGTGGCACTAATGCGATATTTCTTCAAAGGAGGCTCGCTTTCTTCTGTTGTCGACGGACTGCTGTCAGCCACGCTTTTCAGCAGACACACGTCGAGATGTCGGTTAATGGTGCCAGGTGTAAAGTCTTTCAAGCAGACGGGACATTGCACAGCGTCCAAGGTAGGAGATGACATCTCGCTCGCCATGTTGTTTCCCGCGAAACGTTTGACCCCAATCACGTGACCAAACACCAATCTTAACGCAGCAAAGTTGTTTTTGCCTTAATGTTAAATACAAACATGTATTCCCGTTTATACTATCTGATTCTGACGTTTAGTCAGAGGCATGGTCAGAGGCAATGTTAATGTAAATCGACCAATCTTATTTTCATTTCCTTATTTACGTCTGTGTGCATTCACGTTCTGATGGGACGGTCGGACATCAGGAGATTTCTGTCTAGTTTATATTCCAGAGTCCAGACACACGCTTTACTGAGTACAAATATGGACATTGTGAAATTGGAATTGTTTTGTTTTTATTTAAGCGTTAGAAGGGTCAGTCTTGCAAAACTGCACATTAGACGTGACTCTAACTTTATTTTTTCGATGTATACTTGTATTTTCCTACAGGCTATAGTACATGAACGCACCTTCGACTTCCTGCATAAGATAAGGTAATTAATCGATTAAAATGGCCAAATCAGGTACCATTTGGGAAAAGTGAGCAACTCTCCACTGTGTCTCAAAGCTCAACGCTTACCGTGTACCAGCTGGTGTGTGTAAACTTTAAATTGATACAATTTGATAATGGGTTTTGTGATAGAAATGATAAGGTCCCGAATATGGATTCTCATAAACATATCACGATGCTCATCCTGAAGAGGGCTTTGTGTACAAATGTATTTTCAATTGTGTCAGTTTTGAGAATTTTGAGGCATAAAAATCAGCCCCCACCATCTCTGCATTGTTTCAATGGCCACTTATGATTTACATTACATTTACTTTATTCAATTACATTACAATACATACAATTGAATAACATTACATTACATATTGGATAATATATAGTCAAAACTCTTAACTTTGCTTTTAAATGCAATAACTTAAGGTTTTCCATACTATAAAGTCTACATATGTACTCTATTGTGGTACTTTAAGTATTTTAGTAATTGAAGGTAAGTAAAAAGAAAACGTTTAAAATTGAAAAGAAAAACCTATGCTGCTCATGCCTTTTACTTTATTTCTTGCCTGCTCTGCTCAGATAAAAGACAGCCAACAGAAACACGCGAGAGAGGTCGACCAGGTCACGAAGACGGATAGAGACCTCAGAAGGAGAGGGCTGGCTGCCAAGTGTCCCCCTCAGGGAGTATGGCCAAGCTGTAGTCAGTTCATCAGTGTGCCAACAGCCGAAACATGACCGAGCTGGCCTTCTTCCCCAACTTAGAGAAGGTGAAAAACAATCCATCGCTTCTAGGAGATGAAACTTGAACCAAAGGTATCCATGCACCTCATAATTTCCAAATGAAAGATACTTAGGATATGTCCAGAGATTGTGATATATTTAGTTCTTTCAAATCAGCCTTTTGAGTATGCAGTAATACCAGCAGAGGGCGATAATATTATAAACATTTATAGGTACTACAACACTACTGTGGGAACAATTTTGTAATCTACTTAATTTGAGGGCAGAAACAAAAATCTTGCTGCTCTCTTAATAGTAATACAATTATTATAAATAAATTATGTTCAAATAAGGTTTTCCTGAAACAGTCAAAAACAACCAACAACACATGTATCAAAGTGGCTAAATATGACACCACGAAGTTAAAAGCCTACTCAGCAAAGTACAGTGATAAATGGCATTTGATAGCTTTGAATATCTCACTGGTACCCAGGGTAATTGGCCAAATAATGTGATAACCAAAGAGTGCCAATAGTGTAAAACATGTAGCCTAGGATTCAACTAACCACATGCTGCAGTTGTAATTTAAGTGGTCTACTATAAAGCAAACTGAGACATTGTGAGTAATCAAAAACCATTTATTTTCTCCATGACAGCCATGGGAATAATTAGAGCAGCGAGGGCACAGCAATCATCCAGAAATGACCTCATTATTGTATTTGGCAGAGCTGGAGGTAAAGTTAGATGAGGCCGGGGAGTGTTTCCAGGAATACCTTACATAGCTGTTATTGGCCACTGTCATCTAAATCATGCATTTTAGTGTGTTGTTGCACAATACAGATTATATTGTTGAGTTTATATGTCCTCATAGATACCTAATTTATAAAAAAAGATATGCCTTCATTTTCAATTTGATGTAGCATTTAATATTGTTGACATATTTCATGTACATTTCCCCCAATAGAGACTGTGAGTGCAGCCCCATGCGGTCTCTATGTGACATTTAGAATGCAATCCAATAGCACAGGCTATTTATTTACACCTCAGTCAAGTGTGTGTGTTGACAGGGACACTATATCCCCAATTCTCACACGTTTTAATGTCAGTACCGTGTTGAAGATTCATTTAGCTTTGGTTAGACTGTGTTTTATAGTTTGTTTGGATCTGAGAGGAAAATAAATGGTCTGTTTTGTAGTGAAGATGGAAGAATTATGAAGTGAGAGGGTGAGGGTGTCTCTTTGCTGGCACCTGTCACTCTTTTGTCACAGGGACAAACTGCCCGTCCTCTGGCTCTAAGTGCTGATGGGAGAGGGGTGTTGACTGAATTAACAGAGGCTGTTGGGTTTAGCGTAGCATTAATGTCTGGGCGGTCCATACGAAGAGAAGGAGCTGTCATCTCTTCTTTACTCTCCACTTGAGACTCCTCTCCCTAAGCTCCAAGAGGTCCTTTGTAGTTAAAGATAGGAAAATCAAGGCTATCGAAGAAGGATGAAGAGTGAAGTTAAAGCCATGGAGAGCTTTGTCACAAGCTGGGACATTTGGCTAGTCAACAGCATGTGTCTGTTGGCCTCCTACGTCTGGAGCAGGCTGTGCGGTTTACTCTGCTACAGGAGGAGACACAGAGCATCCGCTCCACCTGCCATTCAGGTATATACAAGGCTCTTTCACTTGCTCAATAAAGCTTTCAAACTAGCTGAGGAATGCTGATACCGTTTTGCTTTCTTAAAGGAACATAACTAGAACATTAACTCTTGCAGCAATGGTAGTTGTAGATTTAGTTGGGCAAGCAATATTTTAAATTTGTACTTTCATATTGTATGGTTTATGGACCAAGAATTCATATTGTCAGTGTTGTGGTTGACGATTCCGAGGAAAGTAAATTTGTATTGTATCCGTTTTCTTTGAAAAGCCTCGTATGTACCGACTGAGTGAAGGCAGAACAAAAGCTCAGCTGGGTCACAACTTTTCTATGTTTCCTGATGCAAGCTTTATAGTGTTTTATGATGCTTAAAAAGTTGGAGGAAAAAAATGAATTTGGCCAGATGCTTTCAATGTAAACAAAAGCAATGTTTACATTGTAAGCATCTGACAAACAGGAATATAGTGTTTACTGTAGAAATCTAATAATTTATTGTCATTTTGTTTATTCTCTTAAACAACTAAAAGTGTTGTTTAATTGCTTCCTGATGGCCTTTAAAGAGAATGCCTTGGCCAGTTTCTAATCTTATAGATCCTGTCAACATGTTTTGGACTGTCTTCAGAGGGGATGGCAGCAGCTGCACCATCATCATTTAATTACCTCCCTGACTTGATAATCTCACTGTCTTCGTAGGAATGTCCTTGGCTGGAGAAAAAGTCATTTCAAAAACAGTTTGATAACAAGCACCAAGATCATTGTAAAATCATTGAGTAACAGTTATTTAATGTGACTGACAATAATTAGTGCTGAATTATATATGTTAAAGGCAAATATTGACAGCACAATTTAATCGTGAATTGTTAGGCCTAAACATCACGTTTAAAAAATTGACACCAGAGGCAAACGTGTCCTTCTTTTCACTTTTTATTAATCTTGGTTGTTATTTTTTAGTAGAGGCAATGATGCAAGGTTGGCATTAAGTCAATTATTTATCACTGATGCTTGACAAGACTTTGAATTCTGTGGGCAATTTCCATCTCACAAGTTCTATTAAACATAAGCAGACAGCAGAGGCATGGGTCTGCTGTGTTGTAGCATCACATTTCATGCAGAGTAAAATCTCAGACACTTTGGGACTGATATCTTTTATAATGGTCCTATAATTGATATAATGTCAGACAGACAAGCACTGCAGATGCATGCTTTGTAAATGTCATTGAGATACGGTATGCTGTTTATTTTAATAGCTCTGAATATTAGTACATGTATGTGACTAATTAGGTCTATTGACAGGTTGTGTTGTATAGACATTTTTATATAATTGACATGTATATGATTTATTCCTTGTCTACTTATATCATGCCATGTGAATATCATGCCATGCTTGTGTTGACTTTAAAGTACATTTTATTTGTGTCAACTAAGTGCTTACTTTTGCACTTACTTTTCCTCGTTATCCTCCAGCTAAATGTCACATTTAATTTAATTAGTTAGCTCAACATATGGTGGGTAATCTTTCCAGTAGTAATGTGGTGCTCAGTATCTGAGTGAAAGGTGAAACTAGTAAATATGATGCATGTGTGTTATGCTATGTGACATACAGCAGCAGGAGGGATAAAACATGAGATAAGGAATTGGTGGTTTATGAGTTTATGAGTGCAGCGTTTGGAGAATCTGCTTTGAACGTAGAGTGAGCCCTAGCAGTGGATCTTAACTTCAACACTGCTGTGATTCAGTGAGGCCTGAAATCCTGCTTTTGCTGCCATCTAGTGATTGTCACACTCCTTCTATGATGTAGCATTGCTTTATTAGTAGTACAAATGTGTCATTGCATGAGAGCTTTTCTGCTGAATAATATTTAGCATGTTCTTACCCTTTAATATCTGGTGCTCACTAGGATGTCTGATATTGACTTTAGCTTATCTGTTTTCATTTCATAATCCTGTTATTTGTTTCTCTCAAAACCATTAGATATGGCTCAGTCTCACTTTTCCTGTTTTATATTATATAATGCCTTTTAATGCTGAGAGACTTCTGCCAAAGTATGAATATACATCACGCTTCTAAATGCACAAAGCTGTATACTGCGTCTTAATGTCGTGATAGTACATGTCAAAGAAAACCTGGAGCCTTCTCACCCTCTCTTCTTTCCATTCCTCTTTTGGCATTTAGGAGATCCACACTGACATTTCAAGGTGTATGTGACTAAGCTTTCTTTGCATTCTGTCAATAACCTTTATGACATCCTCAATGTAAAGCTCTTCTTACATTTCTACTATGATAATAATAGTGCTTCTGTGATTATCTTCCTCAAGTAAAGTCACTGCACTTGACTCAAATT